ATTGATTTTTGTTTATGGTTTGAGGTAGGGATCAAATTTCATTCTTTTCTATTTGGATCCCTAATTGTGTGAGTGCTATTTATTAAAAAGTTCATCCCATCCCCAGTGATTTGCCATGTGCTTCTGCCATATATCAAGCGTCCGTAATTGTGTAAGTCCGTTTGGGGGCTTTCTTTTCTCCTCCAGTGGTTTATCTATTCCTTGCATGTCTTAGTTTTTATTGCTTAATAAAAATTATGCTGACATCTATTAAAGAAAAGCCTCCCACTTTATTCTTCTCACAGTGTGTTATGGCTATCTTTGGCCTTCTTCACTTCCATAATTTAATTGATACTTTTACAAGATTAAGTAACCCATACACAAACATGATCTATCTATTTATTTATTTAGGTTTAATTTCCTTCAACAGTTTTTAGTAAAAAATTGATGATTTTCTCCATAAAATTTCTCATATTTTTGTTTTATTTATTTCTGGATTCTGTGAGTTTGTTTTTTGTGGGTTTTTTTTTTTTTTTTTTTACTATTTTAAGTTCTATTCTTTTTAAAATTGAACACTTGGTGTTCAGAAAGGCAATTGACATTTGCATTCTGATACCTTCTAATGTAACCTCTTTAACTTCTCTCAGTAATTCAAATGACATTAGACGATTATATAGATTTTCTTTGTTGGCAGTACATTGTCTAAAAAAAATGTTAGGTTTTTTTCTTCCTTTCTAAATAATGTGTCCTTTCGTTTATCTTATTTTACTGGCTTGGGCACTAAGGTGTATGTTGAATATAAGTGATAGAGTGGGCATTCTTTCCTTTTTCCTGATGTCAGAGGGAATGCTTTTAAGGTTTTACCATCAAATTTGAGGTTGCTATGGATTTGATTAGGTACCTCAAATCAGATTTTTAAAATCTTCTTTTATTTTTAGTTTCCTATAAATTTTTAACAAGAATTGATTTTAAATGTCATTGAATGTTTTTCTGCATTGAGGTAATGGTTAGATGATCGCATTGTTTTTCTTCTTTAATGCATTAATGGAGTGATTTTAACCAACTTTTTATTCCTGGGATATATCTAACTTGCTCATAAGTTACCCTCAAGAGGAGACTCCTCCTGTGTTTTACTCTTCCCATCGCCAAGGTACAATATCAACTCACAGCTACATTAAAATAAATACTTTGCTTGAGGTATTTCAGATCTCATGGCTAGTTTGAATTTGGGTCACCCACCTGAGTGAGAGCTAACTTGTGATTCCATTTTCTAAGAGGATGCTTTATTCTGTGATTCACAACCATGGACAATATAGACATATTGTCTAGGTTTGCACAATCTCCCCCACAGCTCACCCAACCCAGTAACCTTTTTATTAAGGCTGTGACCTTTTGGGGTCCTTTTTTTTTTTTTTTTGAGGAAGATTAGCCCTGAGCTAACTACTGCCAGTCCTCCTCATTTTGCTGAGGAAGACTGGCCTGAGCTAACATTGTGCCCATCTTCCTCTACTTTATATGTGGGACGCCTACCACAGCATGGCGTGCCAAGCAGTGCCATGTCTGCACCCAAGATCCGAACCGGCGAACCCCGGGCAGCCGAGAATTGGAACGTGCGAACTTAACAGCTGCACCACCGGGCAAGCCCCTCGGGGTCCCATTTTTATGAGGGAGTCTCTGATTCAACTCCCCACAATGCACAAGTCTGGCCTTTGCTCCTGTCTTACGTAGTTCTTAACAGTGAGGTTCCATGTCATTGAGGAACAGCGAGTTCTTTAGGCAACCACTCATTTCCGTACCTGCTAACCTCTGATATGTGCTTTAGCTTCATTTTGGCTTCTACGGAGTTTCCTTACTTTCTGGCAAACTTAGCCAAGTATCTGAAATTTTTTAATATTAATGCATTATGTTTAGTTGCTTTACAATGAAAGGATTTTCCTGGCTCCCTGGTGTACCATATTGAGGGAAACGAAAGTTGCTTTATATATGGCCCCATGATATTCAATTCTATGTACATAACATCATCTATGTAGCCATATAGCTTTTGTTTCCATCGTCTATAAACAATGCTATACCAGTCATACGACAGAAGAGGAATGTATTAGTAAAACGTTTTGGAGTCACAGAGACAAAGGGTTCCAGACTTTGGCACTGTGACAGATACCGCCAAATTGTTCTCCTTAGAGGTTGTGCTACATTACCTTCCCCCCAGCAATGCATGACACTGCCTGTTCCTCTTCACCCTCACAAGAGTATCTGCTGTCAAACTTTTGATCTCTGCCAGTCTTACAGAGATAAACCACAGCATAGCAGTTTTGGTTTAATTTGCAATTCTCATACTCTAAGTGAAGGTGAAGACTTCATGTATGTACAAGGACCACTCGTAACTCTTTCTCTGTCAATTTCATGTATGTATAAGGACCATTCATAACTCTTTCTCTGTAAATTTCATGTATGTATAAGGACCATTCATAACTCTTTTTCTGTAAATTTTATGTTCACATCTATATTTGTACTCTTTGTTCATTTTCTGTTGGATTGGTGTCATTTTCAAATTGATTTTCATTTTAGGTCATTGTGATGAGTTGGCAACATTATTTTTCTGCTTTTGGTCTTTTTGACTTTGCTTTTTTTGTCATAAAGAACTATTTTAATAAAATAAGAATTTTGCCTCTGGGTTTTGTATATCAACACTGGGAAAGTCTTCTAACTTGGGGTATTATGAATTGGCACTTTTATCATTATTTACTTTTTTATCAAATTCATTGTTACCTTTGCTACCTCCCTAGAAACTATAAGTACACAGGTTCAAGATATCTATGGCTACTTCCCATATCTCCTATGCATCTGCTTTTGCCAACTACCATGTGTAATTTTAGAGTCTCTCTTGCAACTGCACTCTATTTTTCTGGTATTTAGACACACTATAGCATTCTTGGAGCAATTGGTAGTCCTTCCAATGGCATGGCTTGTCTAAGTTGGAAGGAAAGAATGACCACAATTTCCTCAAGAGTCTAGGTATTATCAGTAAATATTCTATGAACTGAAAAAGAATCTGGTACAAAAAGCATCAAGTAACAGGACAGTAATTCCCCTCTCATTCAACATGATTGGAATAGGCAATTAGCTAATTAAAAAAGTTAAAGGGGGTTATCATTTTAAAAGATATATCTTTTAATACATTAATGTACAGTCATTGAACAACATTTTGACTCATCACCAAGGGCTTTGTTTGAACCTCACTTTGCTGATTAAAATTCAGTCATCTTATTGCAGATACCACACTCGTTACAGCACCATTGACATTGCCATTTTTGGTCTATTTTAAAGTGTGTGTGTGTCTGTGTGTGTGTGTGTGTTTTAAACACTCTTCTAGAATTTTCACCATCATTCCAATCATTTATTATTCTTCATTTAAAAGCATTTATTTTATGCATGTGTTAGAAAGTACCCTCTAGCTATGATCATGCAAGATTAGGTAGGCATCTATCAATGTGCACTATAGTGGGAATGAAGAATGATGGTTAATTCAGTGACTTGGTTAAGTGGAATTAAATTAAGTACACTTCAATTGCATCTGCCATGGAGAGTGATGGTTAATTCAGTGAGTTGATTAGGTGGAGTTAGATTAAGACAGTTGAAATTGTATCTGACATTTTTACCTTTCCGAGGAGTGACAGGCATATTTTCAAATCTTTTAGTTTTCTGATTTTTAGTTTGGTTTTTTTTTTTTTAAGGCAGATTGTAGCAATGTGGATTTATGGATATAATTATATTCTGGCAAGTGGATTTAAAACATTGTTAGCCAAAAAAAATCTGGGAAAATGATAAAATACTTTTCCCCTCACATAATTGGCACTATTTGATTTAAGATGAGTTTTTCTAAAATTTTTTCTTGTCTTTACGTGACCTTTAGCTATAGACAGCTTACAGAAGTTAGCACAAAGGTTCAGCTTCCTTAATTAGACGTATCGCATTTCACTTGGTTTCGGTCTTACCTGGAAATCTGAGAAAATACAACCTCATGGACAGCTGTGGACCACTGGTTCCACTGAAAGAAATATCGCAGAAAATAAGTGCCGTTTGTTATCTGTAAACGTCATCGTCATCCTCATTATCATCATCAGAACTGTCAGTTACTGAGCATACACTGCACGTCTGGCACTGCACTCTGTGCTTTCTTTGTTAAAAACCCGTGAGGACGCTACAAGTTGTGTCTTATCGTTCACATTTTGCAGATGGGGGAAGCTCCGGCAGGTATCACTTTCTGAAAGGCAGACACTTAACACACATGAGAGCAGGATTGATAATGGTCTTGTCTAACTCTTTCCCATTCAGTAGAAGCTTTTTCACCAACATACTCTCTGTTAGTTAAAAATCTAGTTTAAAGTAACAGAAATAAACTTGAGTCAACTTAATTGAAATATGAGAATTAATGAACAGGATACCAGTTCATCTCATGAAACAGATTAACTAGTCAGACTTTTGGAAGGGACTAAGATCAGTAACTGGAAGTCAGCAGAAATCCAGTCTCTGTCTCATGTCCTTTTTGCATTCTTTTTCTTCATTCCCATCCCACACCCTACCCCTCTCTTTCCTGGAACCTCATGGGTTTAATGGCTATAGTTTCAGCTACATGTGGAAATTATCCCTGAATTCTGCTTTCTAATTCCCTGGAATGTGTCTGAATCTGATTGGCTCAGCTTGTGACAAGTCAAGTATTCAACATTGATAAATGAGAAGGGGTGGGGAGGAGGGCTGTATGTTGCTAACATAATACAAAGGGGCATCTCCTCGCTGGAAAGGCAGGGCAATTCTCAGAAAAGAGCTACAGCACAGATTGCCAGGAGTGCACCCAAACCTGCATTCTCCTCTGGGAACTCCGCTGGACTACGTGTCTCAGTCAGTCGTACAGTTACGTAGAGCAAAGTGACTGTTTCCATCATAGAATGTGACTGAGGATGATGTGTGCCAATTCCAGGAACAGGCCCTAATAAAATTCATTCTTGTTGCCCCCCTTTTAGGGCTGACTGGAATAGGATGACCTTGGAAGCCATATTTTTAAGTTGGCAGAATTCTGCAGCCTGGATTTCGAAGCAACTAGGTGGAGTAGAGCTGCTTTCCCAAACTACTCATTACTGTTACTCGGAAGAAATACACTTTCAGTATTTTTGAGTAATACATTTTGGACCTAACTTTCATACCAGTAATGGATCTCTCTTAACTCATACCAAAGAGAGGGCTCATGAGTTGAGAAATCATCCCGGAAGATTTCTATACACTCCAACGCTGTGCAGAGAGAGACAGGAATCACAGAACTAGAAAGAAGTAACAATCATAAAATTTCCTTGAATCTACCTATTTAATCTCAAATACTTATTTTTCCATATCTATACAATGACTTTGTACGCCAACGTCCCTTACTCTAATCATGGTTATAGCTGAAATCTTGATATTATCCATGGCTTAGATTCATTTTGCTGAGTTCACACTTAATCACACATTGAGAGGATCGAGTTTAGTTGTTTTCCTTTTCTCCTTTAGGACATACTTTGCAAAGACACAACTCGTTGTCAAAATATATTGTTCCAAACTATTGAGTATATGTTTTTGTACATATATTTTAACAATAGAAATTCCAAATTAATTCAGCACAGCCATTGTCCCGAAAGAGGTTACTGTCTAACTGAGCAAAAGTGACACAGAGCATTACAATGATTAAACAGCAATAAAAAGCTTTTAAAATGCTAAACACAAATATTTTCTTCATGTATTCAGTTAAAAAAAGCTTCCAAAAGTATGTATTCTATACCCTACTGTATTCAGATAAATACTCTTTTAGGTTAGTATATGACTATATATATATATATATATATATATATATATATATGCATCAAAAATGTCTGGAGAATGAGTCTCACAAATATTAATAGCGATTATATCATTGTAATGGGATTACAAGTAATATTTAATAGTTTGTTTATTTATATTCTCTATTTTTCTTCTTTAACAAATTCATATTATGTGCCTAATAAAGAAAATTCTAGTGGAAAAATATGTGCAAAGAGGAGAATTCTGTTCATTGCCTATGAGTTAATTCTAAAATATTTTAAAAAGAGAGGTCAAGGAAAATGTCAAGTGGCAAGCTGTGTTTATTTTGCAATAGAGAGGGGTAAAGGAGGTAAGAAGGAAATTAATGGAACCACCACACCTAAGAACTCCTCAAATATTTGAAAAAGGACTACAACCTGTGGGAAGTTATCACATTCATGAATACATATTAAGATTTTATTACTGGGTTAACTTAAAAGACACTTTATTCTTTTGGAGCTGAGTTTCTTTTTGCAAGTCAAATGGATCTTTTGTATATTACTCTGGCCCAGGAGAGGGCATACCACCACACATAAAGAAATTTAACTTAACCTTTTAAAGAAATAATGCCTATAGCACGGCCAAGTCCTTAGCAAAGGAAATGGCAATTCTTCCTCAAAACATGTGTTGTCCTTTTCTCTCAGTATTTCCATTGCCATTTGTAACCATCTTCAAACACAAATGCACTTTTCTGAATAAACTGTTACTGTAATAACTTTGGTGTCATGATTATTCTTCCTAAAAGGTTTACATTTATTCTTAGACTAGATCTTTTCCATTTGGCAGTGGATCCTCCCTAAGAGGAAAGTTTGCTCCTTCTTATGAGGAAAACAAACAAAAAGAAAAATACTGTAGAAGTGGACTGGTCCTATACTTTTAAGTAGGCAAAGAAATGCATGCCAGAGTGGTTTATCTAAAATAAAGGAGAGAGAATGATGCTATGAACGTGAATAATTAGTCTACTGAAATTAAGCTCCTTCTACAGACAGGTTAAGCCTATTTCCAAACTATGTAATAATTTGATATTATTAAATACGTGTTTTAACATTTGAGACAAATTTCTTTCTTTCAACAAATTTAACAGATAAATTATCATATAAAATTTTTTGAAACTAACAAAGGTCTTTATTAAATGACCACAGAAGAGAACTTGAATATTCGATAAACGGGTTAAGTAACTATCCTGTCACAGTTGGGTGCTCCGCTAAGACTCACTAAGAATTCGTCATCGTCTATTGGACCCTTTCGCCATCTGGTCTACACTGCGTTCGAGGCCAAACCCTAAAGTATAAAATGTCAGGTTGATATTTAAAATAAGTTCAAGGTTTTAAAAGTTATCCAAAAACTTAATTGCCTTTGCTTTTCTCATTCTCTGTTTAATGAGCTGATATTAAAATGACCTGTGCCTATTAAGGTAAGGGCTTAACAATTACAAACATATGTGTGAATGAGCATAGAAATAAAGGCCGAAATTAATGGGGATTCAAGGAAGATGGGCTTCCAGGACATTTATTTTTCCGAGGTTTTATTAGCAACTCTTCTGCCAGAGGACATGGCTATAACTGAACAAATTACTCCAAAGACGTTAGGTTGTATTATGACAAATAATTTTCAAAACCAAGAGAAAAATTTATCGGAAGAGGTTAATATTTTCCTAAACCCCAAAGAGATGAAAAGTGTGTTGACATATCTGGTCAGAGCAACATAAAGCTTTTAGGTCAGTAATTACATTGAGCAAAGCTATTCTCCAAAAATTGCGTAAGAATTATTCTCACTCATTGTACTCTGGAATTGTTACTTATATCTTAATTATTTTATATTAGACAATTTTTAAAAATCTTGTGTCTACATGATTTCTCTCTTGAAAAGCAAACATTTCTAATTCTGAGATGGGAATTTTTAAAGTAAACAGGACTGCCTTTGAACTTGGAATAGGAAAAACAAGCCTCAATTCTGCTATTCTCCTCTGGGTGTGGCTCAGAATTCGCGAGAAAAGTGCAACTAACTCAGAGCCCTCGATTTATGACCCATTTGATTGGTTTTGCTGACTCACTTAAGGCCTAAAACAAATCCTCGTGTTATCTTTTGGTGTGGTTTTATAACTTTAGCAATAAAAAGGGGACACGGGGTACTATAAGGCTCTCTGAACATGCTCTCATTAGTGCAGACAAAGAAAGCTAAACGTCTGGTTACCAAAGATTTACAGCTCCTGAGTTTAACCAGTCGAGAATGTTTGCCTTGTTCTGCTTTTTCCTATATTTGGGGGCTCGATGGTTTTCCCCCCGCCCTGCCTCCATGGAACTTAAAACATCACCTATTCTAGATTTTTAACCTTCCTGCACTGAACAGCAAATGAATATACCATTTTAAATCTTGAAGGAATCTTAAAGTGCCCCTCCCTCATTTTTTTAGGTAGGAAATTAACGTCCGGAAAGAATGCACAGTTTCATCCTGTGGCCTAAATCAAGGATTTTTCATGTTAAAATCAGACACACTAACTCATAGTCATTTGTTTAGTAATAAAGAATTCAAAAAAACTTAAGATAAGCCCTGTCACAAGGACGAATGTTCAGGCCTTAGGAAGGCAGACATTGTTAGCCGCCGTTAGCCAGCTGGTTGCCCGCAGGGCCCACCCATGACCAGCCACATTCCCCAAGCTTGAGACATGTCCTGTTTCCTGATGAAAAAGGAGCTGTGAGTCTTACCATTGAGCTAAATTGTGGAGACGGGCTATGAGCAGCTACCTGTAGTGGAAGTTCTACCCAAGTGTTGTCCAACAGAAATGTAATTTGAGTCACAAAATCTTAAATTTCCTATTAGCCTCATTAAAAAAAAGGAAACTTGTTACAAATGCAGAGCCACTGACTGAGAATCTTCACTTTAACAGAGTTCCCAGATGGTTCATATGCACATTAAAATATGAGAAGCAATGTCCTAGAGATTAAGGAGAGAAATTATAAAAATGACAAATGTGATATCTGGGAATTACAATTTATGCTATAATTTGCAGGGAGAAAAACTGGTATATTAGTCAGGGTGCTCCAGAGAAACAGAAGCAATATTAAAAGGTATTGGCTCACACGATTTTGGAGGGTAGGAAGTCCCATAGTCTGCCTTCTGCAAGCTGGAGACGCAGGGAAGCTGGTGGGATATTTCGAAGGTTGGAAAGCAGGAGAGCCGATGGTGTAGACTCCAGTCCGAGTCTGAAGGCCTGAGAACCAGGAGTGCCAAGGGCAGAAGATTGATGTCCCGGCTCAGCCATCAGGCAGAAGGAGAGACAGGCACGAAGAGACAGAGACGCAGAGACAGAGAGAGAGCATATCCTCCCTTCTACCTTTTTGTTCTGCTCGAGTCTCCGACACTGGGGAGGTCGACCTGCTTTCCTCAGTCTACCAACTCAAATGCTGCACTCTTCCTCAAACACCCTCACAGACACACCCAGAAACAATGTTCAACCAGGTATCTGGGCCTCCTGTGATCCAGTCAAGTTGACACACACATTAATTGCCACACTGGGAAAAATAGAGAGATTAGGCAAGTGGGCAGCTATAAAATTATCAAATGCAAAAAGGAAGTTTGACACAGAGACAAAGTAAAAACCCAAGGAATGCTAACTATGACGATCAACTTCAATTTTAATGACTCATCGTCACTAGGAAGACTAATTCACTGAGGCAAAAAGAAGTCAAAAAGGCAGAAATAGACACCCCACGTCTGGGCGGTTCTGTGTCTCGCAGCCCTCACCGGCTAACGCCTCACATTTGCAGAGCAATTAGCTAGAGCCTCCTAACAGGCCAGTGAAGATGTTATTACAGCAGGTGATTTCCCCTCATCTGATAAATTGAGACTGAAACCTGGAGAAATCATGACTTTCCCTCATCACAGAGAATTAAACAGCAGAGCTAAAATTGGCATGACTGAAATGGCAAGCCAATAAAATGACAGGACTAAAATTTTCTCAGTCATAGTCTCATACCACATAAGCGTATAGAGCATAATAATACTAGGAATAGTAATAATAATGGCAGCAGCTAACCGTGTGAGGCGCCAGTCACCGCACTCCGGGACTCGATGTCTGTTAACTCACTGGATTACCGTAACAACTCTTTGAGGCAGGCGTTATTATTCTTATTTTCTAAATGAAGAAACGGGTGCACAGACGGGGTCAATTACTTGCCCAAGTTCCCAAAGCAAAGAGGTCACGGAGTCCAGCTTGAAGTCAGCAGTCTGGCTCCTGAAACTAATTCTGAACTGTGCCTACTGCCTGCTTAACTCAGTTTTGGGGGCAGGAGGTTGTGGATCACAGAAGACCTCGCTGCCCAACACAGAGTTGAACGATAAATTTACAAACAGGCCCTGACTCTACAAAGTACTTTATTCAGGGTTTCTTTTAATCCAGAGATAGTTTTTAACTTATAGCTCTTTCAAAAAATATCTACTCGGTAAAGCAATATTTGGTAAATTGGCTCTTAAAACTATGTAGATAAGGTCTCAATAATCTTCACTTTCTCCCATTATCATAGCAAATAATCAAGTCATAAAGAATTAAAAATCTAGACATTTAAATATAAATTAAGGGAGAAGTTTTTACTTTTCAGTAATATACACTGAATTAATAGGTATAAACACTGATAAATGAAGATTAGCATTATGGCAAGTACAAATGCTTTATTCAGCTGATTAAGAATTTCAGTAATAAAAATTGAGAAGTAAACCAATTGCTCAAATCTGTCTAGTCTACTCTAACAGTTGCTCCAATCTCCTCTTTCCCAAAGATTTGCAACGAGAGGATGGAAGACGTTCTAAAGCCAACCAGCTAAAGTCATCCTCAAGTTGGGAGATTATTGTTATTATTAGCCCCATTTTACAGATGAGGAGCATGAGGCTTAGAAGTAGTGTTCTTGCTCAAGGTTCAATGAAAAGCAGAATCTCTTGAATTATGACAATAATTAAAAGCATCTTCATATTGGCTCATATTAAAGATATCCATGGTATTTATACGATCTCAATAAAAAGATATGAGCTTTTCAGTGCATTTACCAAAGTTAGGTGATTATTATTTAGAAGTAGCAATAGATTCAGCTACTCATGTATGTCCAAGGTCATATGCTGTCAAAAGTCAATACCAAAGAAGATGAATTCCAAATAAAATTGGGAGGAAGCCAAGTTGGATATGTTGCACAAAAGAAACCAAGCAGATTTCCTTGGTGCCAAGGTATTTGGCTGCCTTCTCAAGCGTGACTTCTTCTGTGTCCCGTTTCTCTCACTTCACCCACAACATGTAGCCTTATAAATGCCTGAGCATTAAATCATAAATTGTAAATCAACTTATGAGATATGAGCAGAGATTATCTTAAAATAATGAAATGGCATTCAGGCCTTTTAAGGCCTGACTGTACACTCTACACTAAGTCCCCAGAATAAGTGTTGACCAGCCTGGCAAGTAGAGAAGAAAGAGAAGGCTAAGAGCTAAGAAGAAGGGAAGAGAAGAAAGGAAGGTCAGGGAGGGACCTGCTGGCTCTCCCAGTCCACATGGTCCAAGGGAGAGGATATCTTCCAGGCTACCTGAACTGTAGTCCACCCGACAGCAGTATCTCTTGTGAAGACTGATTCCTTAGTCTGCAAAAAATGAGATAGTAATCTGTCTTTTGTAATTTGCTAAAATGGAGAGAATAAGCAAGTAGGACAATGCCTTGTCCTGCAATTATCTTAGGTAACTAATACATATAGTTCTAATTAAATTAATTAATTGTGTTCTGGTTAATATGCCTCAGACTCTTGTGAATTAGGGTGAGTAACCAGTTCTTCTGGCCATGCTCAATCTGGGACCGTGATAAGAACCTTTATCACAACTAGCAAGGGCTGGAATCAGTACCATTGCAAGTTCTTCCTTCTTTTCAAAAAGTTCTCTCTTCTTTTCACTGCTCCTATACCAGTGGTTCTTAATTTTTTTTTTTTTAAC